AGCCTCCATGGCACCAGAAAGTCTGGATACGTACAGTTTTGTATCTTGCTTTTTGTCATACAACTAATCAACACTTTCATATGTCTCTAAGTCTTTTATGTAAATGTTTTTTTTCCAAGTTTAAATAAGTGCTGTTAATTATACATCACTTATATACAATCTAACTAAATACACAGGCTGTTAACAGTTTTATATTTCCTTGACCAAAGAAATGGCAAGCATTTAAAAAAACAGTGAACAGAATTTATAAACATATAAGCCTATTTATTATGTTTATAACTTTGTATTATGGTTGGGTGAAAGTTTATAGAGGAGATGGTTTTCTACTTAATACTTCATGCGTGTTTCATGGCGCTGACTGCAGTCTCCACATGTAACGGCGCTCTTCCCACATCCTCTGTGTGTTTCCCATTTCCTTTGTCCTTCTTCCCCCTCTCTTCCTGCATCCTGAGCTCCATCCCTGGGTGAGCACTGCCCTGTCGATCACATATGGTTGCTTGTGCTGAGGCGTGCACACCTCCCTGGTGTTCTTGTTCACCTTATAGGCCTGTCTGTCGTTTGCCTGAAAGTTGAGCCATAAGGGTGTAGAAATGTTATTTTTTAATGGTTGTTCATATTTCATCAGATTGCTTTACCTTAGTTTGCATAGCTATTGTTCTCATGATAGGTATTTGCATTGTTTCTAATTAAGCAAATGCATGTCATTTATGATGTCACGTTTTTGGACTATTTTCACAGTTTCCCAATTATAGTTCAGAAGTAAAAATACATAGAGCATGACCTTGGTATACTTTTTGTGCTTAGGCATGTTGAGCCCACACAGAAGTGGGTCAAGTGCTGTGCTAGACACAGCTAGGCTCACTGGCTTTTGCCTAGGCCTCACTGCAGAATTCTACTAGGATGCTAGCTCTATGTCTTAGGGGCGTTTGCTTTTGTCTGTTCGGTGATAGTGATGGGGGATGGCATACAATTGCCCAAGCCCAGAAGATGAAGGCATTTTTGTTTCGAGCATGATGATCAGCAGATTAGAGCATGCCTCCAGTTACATTATTCTAAATTCCAGTACTGATTCCCTTCCACTTCTGGCTTCGGTCCACTTCCTCAGGCCATAGGAAGTGTTCAAAGGAAGAGGATCAGCTTGGCTGAAAGTTCAAAAAAGCCTTTGTAGCGTGTCCACCAAGTTGTATGTCACTGCCACAGCCCCCAAGTCCCATCTGTAGAGATCAGTGCAGAGGCAAAAGTAAAACAGAGTCTGGTCTGAAAACAACAGTCACCATTCCTGTTCATGAAAAATTCTAATTACAGTCCAAGTAGAAGCTCAACCATTTGACATAACAGATTTTATAGCATCCCCTCCTTGAAAACACAGCCCCTTTCTCTTTCCTTGGAGAGAGGAGATGTTGATGAGGGGTTCCTAATGACTTTCCAGTGTTTAAAAAACTTGCATCTAAGAATTCTTTGTGGGAGCAGCCCCGAATCCCTGCTCCTTGCCAGCCATGGGGCTCACCTTGTCTTAAAGGTGCTTCCAGCTTATATCCCAGCCCTGGGAGGGCAGCCCTCAAGTTGCTGTCTCTGTTGCAGAGATGGCGGAACGATTCCACCGTGTCACCGTGCTCCAGACACACTTCTGTGACTGGCAGTGGGCCTGGGAGAGGAGGGAGAGCTTGTACGCCCGCCGTGCCCTGGTGGGGCTGCTGGCCAAGAGGATGGCCCTGCGGCGGGCCTTTGCTCACTGGAAGCACTGTATCCTTTGAAGCTGCCCAGCCCTGTCCACCCACTGCAGCAGGACAACATGGGCTCAGCAAGAGCTGTGGGATGCATGGGAAGCTGTTTCTGAGCCATTTAAGACAGTCCTCATCTCCACTGAGTTCTTTTTCAAAATTGTTGAATTGTGAACATGCAGACAAGAGAATATGTGTAACGCATTTTACAGTTTAAAGACTAATAATAAACACCTGTACCAACACCCAAGTTAAGGAATAGAACACTGCTGTACCAACACCCAAGTTAAGGAATAGAATACTGCTGTACCAACACCCAAGTTAAGGAATGGAACACTGCTGGCACCTTCGTCTGCTCTTCCCTGATGGTGCTCCCCTCCTCCTCCTCAGAGATCATCCCGCTGTCTTGAATGTGTGTCATCCTTTCAGTGGTTTTCTCCGCCTTCTAGGTGGTGGAAGTAGCCACAGCTGTCTGTTCCTTGGTGGCACCATCACTATGACAATTCAACAAAAACCAAACCCATTGCTGTTGAGTCAATTCCGACTCATAGCAACCCTATGAGACAGAGTAGAACTGCCCCATAGCGTTTCTCAGGCTGTAATCTTTACAAAAGCATACTGCCACATCTTTCTCCCTCAGAGTGGCTGGTAGTTTTGAACTGCTGACCTTTTGGATGACAGCCAAACATTTAACCACTGCACTAATAGACCTCCTTACTATGAAAATAGTGCCATTTATTGCATTTTTACTATGTGCAGACATTATGCATTCTCTCCTTAATCGTCTTAGCAGCCCTATAGAATAGAGGTCACCATTTTATAGAAGAGAAATCAAGTATTCAGGGGTGCTAAGTGATTTTTAAATCCAGAGTCACAGCAAGTCGTTGGCACAGCCAGGACCTTTTAAACCTAAGCCTTTGACTGCAGTGTACATATTCCTAGGCATTGTCTCTTACACAACACCGGCCCAAGTGCCAGGAACTGAACTGCTCGTTTGTTCATCAAACTCTTTTTTTTTTTTTTTTAAGGTTGCAGAACAAATTAATTTTCCATACAACAGTTTATGTACCTTTTGTTTCTTGACATTGGTTACAATCCTCATAATGTAACAGCTCTCTTTCCACTTCCTCCCTGTAGTCACCTCTTCCTTGTTTCTTACTTTCGTATGCATTCCTGCCCCCTGAGCTAGCTCCCTGTGCAAACACTGCCCTTCTGATCTCCCATGACTGATCATCCTAAGGAGTGTATCTTCCTCATGTAAATGTTCACCGCAAAGGTCTGTCTATTGTTTGGATGGAAGCCATGAGAGTGAGTTCAGTTCCAGACCTGAATGGTAACTACGGACCATAGTCTCACAGGTCTTACAGGCTCTGTCAGACCAGTAAACCTGGTGTTTTTTTTATGATTTTGAGTGTTATTCCACATTTGTTTCCCACTCTATCCATGATCTATTTTGATCCCTTTGCAAGTGGTTGACGGTGGTACTCAGGCACCATCTATTTTTTCTGGCCTCAGGGTCATGTAGACTGAATTCCACATGGTCCATTAGTCCTTTGGACTGATGTTTCCATGTTCATGGAACTCTTTGTGTTGAACTCCTGCTTAGGTTCTGGGATATGGAGAAACGCAAAGACTAATGGTAAGGAGTCCATCGTCTAGTGGGGAAAGTAGGCATACAGATGGGCCTTTATGATATGGTGTGGTGAGTGCTATCATAAAGCTGTGTATTGAGAACTATGGAGATCCAACCAAGGAGATGTTTGAGCTGAATTTAAGTCTTAAGAGGATCACAAGTTCACCCAGCAGAGAAGTCGGGACAGGCATCTGACATAGAAGGGACGGTACTAAGGCAGTTGTAGAGGTGAAGCAAGCACTCAGGGATGATGATAGGAAACTGGAGTGAGTTGTGGGGTTGGGATGGTGGTTGGGTAGATGCAGGGCCAACAGCTGGGGAACACTCTGTAGAGACCTTGGGTGCAGTGGTCAGGAATTGGGGCTGGATCCTGATGGTATTGGGAGAAGCCTCTGGAGGTTTTCGTGAAGAAAAGTGATGCCATCCGATTTATCCTTTAGGAAGATGATTCTTGATTACAGAAAGGAGGCTAGCACAGGGCATCCAATTAATGTGTTGAGTCTCTCTTGCCGGCATATGTGACGGACCAGGGCTTGAAGGCTTGAACCAAACCAGATGTTGGTTTGGGTGTCGGGCAGGAAAACAACAGAAGAGGTGACAGATACATGAGAGAGATTTGGGAGGAAAACAGATGGGCTTGGTGACTTACTAGACAGAGTGGGAGAAGAAAAGGCCTGACAATAACACCAGGGTTTTAGCGCAAATGGCTGGTTCAACTGCGATACCAAAACACAGGAGGCAGGGGGAGGAGCAAGCTTGGCTGTACTGTAGTTGTGTTGCTTTTGAAATGGCTCCTTCTGAAATTGGTGACAGTGTATACCCAGTATTTGTTTTCCTCTCCTTAAATGGACCTCCAAGGGGAGGAGAGCAAGGCCAGCTGTTGGATAACTCGTCTGGTTTCCCTTTGCCCACTGCTCCCTGGGGTCATCAGGAGGACGGAGAGTGGAAACTGACCTACCCAGTATCCCAGCATGCCCATTACCACCTGCTGCCGCGAGCCTGCAGATGGGTCTCTATGGAATCA